AGTTGAAACTATTTCCCTGTGTCCTATCACCACAGGGTCCCTGCTGAAGAATCTTTCCCTATTTTTTTCTGCAGCTCCCCTTTAGATAGTGAAAAGCTGCTATCAGTTCACCTCGGGACCTTCTCTTCTTCAGGCTGAACAGCCCCAGCTCATTCTTCATAGGAGAGGTGTTCCATCCCTTGGATCATTTTTGTGTTGCTCCTTTGGTAATACTTCAACAGAGCTATGCCTCTTCTGTGTGGAAGACATATTATGTGCCGTGTATGCACAGATCTTAAACGTATGTGGACACAGTTATTCAACACAAATTCAAAACACAAGACACAAATCTTCATTCCTAAGTACAGGTGAATCAAACAGTGTAGCTATCTAACTTGTGGCTGGAAAAAGAGAATCCACTGATTCCCTTGTGTGGGTGATAAAATCAAAGTGAAAAAAACACACTTTTTGTGTGTGTGTGTTTTGTTGTTGTTGTTGTTTCATTTTTTTTTTTTTTTTCTGCATTGCAGTACCACATTATGCCATGGTTTCCCAGTCTAACTGTCTTCTTAATATCTGTTCCTCTTCAAGATACTCAATGTCATTGCAAATACTTTATCTTCCTCAATCTGCTGCTGTTAGCTGAAAATTACAGAAGTTCTGTAATAGTTGTACTGTGCCTATGGCCATACCTCTCAATCATCTGCCTAATGCCTTCGGTATATTTCTTTTTGTCTGAAATATCCCTGGACTGTGTGTGTTAATAAACATTCTCCAGATGTTGCTGAGTCTCATTCAAACTCTGAGAACATGATTCTTTGTTGCTACGTGTGCAGGGTGAATTCCAGGCAAGAGTGAGCTGTGTCACCTCAGAGTCAGTGCCTGTGGCAGGCAGAGTAACTCTGTAAAGACACAGACTAGTGCTCATTGCTTCCCACAGCTGGCTGTATAAATTGTAAGCTTTTCTGGGGAAGTGGCCCTTAACAGATATAATGAAATCAAATGAGACAGAGGGCAGTTTTTAATCTCCCAATCATGGTTGCTTTTTTTTGTGGTTGTTTTTTTTTCCTTCCAGTCTATCTTCTCCTATCCTCACTGTACTCTGATATTTCTCTGTCATTGCTACCTTTGTTTTTTTTAAAATCATTGTTCAAATTTTTCCTCAGTCTGCAGTTTCTTTAGATGGGTGATGAAGGACTACTGTAACAGCACTCACAAAAAGCAGCACTGTTGTGATGTTAAAAATACAAACTTTACATGTAGCTACAGAAAGACACAGATACAGTGCAGATGTAACAACGTGTGTTGTCTAATTGAAGTCCTTTTCTTGCACAAGAAGATAATGTTTGTTTGTTTTTCCACGCAGTGTCTTTTGTTACTTTACCATTTACTTCTAATAAGACCAAAACTGGTTGAAATTCATTTGAATATCAGAGCTTGTGGTGTATGAAGAGGCTCATACCCATAGAAGAAGGAGAATGAGGTATATGTGCCCTGAGTTTACTCACCTGCAAAATAATTCTACCAACTGGACAAAGAGAATATGCTGCTGATTGCCCTTTTGCCTGCCAGGGGGACTACAAGGGACCAAGTCTGTAAATGACATTTGGATTACTTGAGCACTTTTGCAGAAATGCTCTTCCTCAGGGAGAGACCTATGAGGGATTGTGTCTCAGGGGTCACAGATTGCACCAGGAAGATGCAGTTCTGTATTACACTGTTTTCTGTACTGTCTGTACTTCTCTGGCTTTCTCTAGACGAAACACCTCATGACCAGTTTTGCTGCACTGTTTGTTTTTCATTGGTTTGACACTGAAAATGATATAGATGTGTTAGTCTAGTACTATATGTTGCATTTTATCGTTGTTACTTTGAAATACAAATTTTGATAGTCTTATGGCCTTGTACATTAAAGTGGAAGTAAAATGCACAGACCCAGCTTACTACACTCCGTAGCATCTGTAGCTATCTGAAGACAAGGATGACACTATCTTAGGAGGTGAAAAGGCAATAGAATTCAGTGTAAAACCTCTGCTTTAAGAGGGAAAAAAAGAAAAGACAACACATTTACTTGGTTTATTCCTTGTGAATATTGGTTGTAAAAAGCACAACCAATTCAGCATTGAAAGAAATTATTTACCACTTACAGTGGAAGGGAGTGTAACGCATCTAGAAATTATTGAATTTCTGTTATTTCTTGTGTTTTCACAAAAGCTCCTCAGGAAAGTGAAGCTTAAAAATATATGACAGTGAGTTTGAATTTGTTGCTTACACATATTTTTTTAATGACATTTCTAGAGACACTTAGCAGTTCTATCACTAAGAATGATCCCGAGATCTGGGAGTAGGGTAAGAAAATGAAATGAAACTTTATCAACACTTTCGGAAATTTCACTTTACACACAGAGGCAGGGACAGCAGTATAGACATGAAATAAGTTTGTTCTCAGGTGCCACTGAGAACTGCTCAAAGTAGGTGCTGGATTGATCGAGTTTTTCTAGGTAAAAAATTATAGACTCCAGTGATCATCTTGAGCTGATGCAGATCTGCAGTAGAAGAAGCAGCTAAGGCACTTAGATTTCATTTTTCTAATGTTGAGGAACATGAGCAACCCTTGTAAAAAGAAATATTTTTATACTCTAGATCACTGTACAAAGATTACCTGTTTACATAATTAGTTCATGTGTAGTTAAATATACAAATACTGTACACTGTTTTGATATTGTTGGCACCATACAAAGCTGTGTAAAGCTATTTGTGGTTTTTAAATGTGTATTGATAAGTTCATTGTTAACTACTATACAAAGGTTTTGTGAATACCAACTTTTGAGTTTTCACATAAATAAATTAGGAATAAACTCACCATAAGCACTTCTGCATCTCTAGGGGTTTTTTGTGTGTGTGTTTTTCTTTTTTTTTCTTTTTTTTTTTTTCAGAGTTCCTTTTTTTTTCCATTGTCTGTAGATGGTTTGCTGCAAATACTTTCTCACTCTAGAGAATTGCCAGAACAATACTGATGTTTGCCTGCAAGAGCTAGAACCACGTAAAAAAACTCTTTTGGCAGCATAATTTTGCTAAGGAGCCCATTTCGTCCACCAGTGTCTTGTCCACAGTGAGTCAGTCCCTGCAGGCGTGTAGTATGCTGCATGGCTACATGTCCTTAGTGAGTGCAGACTCCATCAGCTCACACGTATGGTTCTCCATGTCAAGTTCCTTCTTAAGTTCCCTTTCTTAGACTTCCTGTTGGCAGGTAAGGGAAGAGAAATACGAAGTGATCCTAGTGTTTCAGACAGCATGGCTGATGTTTTGGGGAGAGGACAAGCAGAGTCTTCCTGGTACCTTCACCAATCACTCTGAGTTTGACAGTGAGAAGAAGGTGTATACAGGGACTTCTGTAGATTGTTCTATGGTTTGAAATGTTGATAAATATCAAGTGCCATTATGTGTGCACAGAGAGCATTGGTCTAATATCTTCCATGTGCAGTGAGTAACTCAGCAAAACCGTGGAGAAAAAAATGTATATGAAAATATGTACACATCTTTAGGAAGAGGGTATTTTATAACCTAATGTTTTACTGCAGTAAACAGTATATTAAATGTGATCAGAATTTTTTTTCAACAAATGTTTTCAGCAATTACATTTTATTTCACAGTTTTGATTTATAAATAGAATTGAGAGATTTCTGACAGTACAAGAAAAAATGCATTCAAATTCTTGATTAGAAATACTCTCTGAGTTAGCCTGTTTTTGTAACGCTGTACATAAGGTATTGGATGCAGAGTTACTGAAAATGAACAAAAAAATCACTTAAAAATTTTCCTTCTATAATTCTTCTTTTATCTGTTGTGGGTGGGTCTAGCCTGAGAAAAATGAACTCTTGATTTCTGGGAAGATTAAGAGAATGTGTAACACTGTTCAACCAGAAAGAACCAATAGGCTTTTGGATTTAAAAAAAAAACAATTTTGCAAAACACAAAAAAAATAATCATGAGCAGATTCTTTCCAGGTGATTGCTTTTGTCATGAATTCCTTCATCTCATACTAAACTGTAAATTCATTAGTTGTCAAATTCAGCTATTTGAATAGGTCTTTACCTTCAGATCATTAAAATAATTCTTTTAAATTGGATGCCTGAGTCCTATGTGAGGATTTCTACATTTCAGCATCTAACTTTTAGGAGAAATTGTAAAAGGATCTAACCACCTTTTGTTTGTTGACATCGTTGACTTTTTTTTCCAATGTTTGTTGACTTTGGTATATCTCTAACTGTTGTTAAGCCATTTGAAGCTGAGAGTCACAGTCTCAGGATATATGCTTCCTGCCTGTTCACCTGGGAGACTAAAAAGGAGTTAACTTGCAGATTAGACAGGGCAGTCTCAATGGTTAGGTTTCTTTTCCAAAAGAAAGAATATCTAGTTGGCATACATACTGGGAAAATTCTGCTATAAGCTTGTATGGGAACTGTTGAGTCACAGCCTGAACCACTGATTGATCACCTGAAGCAAGGACTGAGTCAGCCATGGGAGCACAGTTCACCTGGGTGACCAGAAAAGGTGGAGCCTGGTTGCACCTCTCCTAGACCCCATTTAAGGGCTGACTGCCACTGGAGAAGGGTCTCTTCTGGAGATCTCTCCTTTTGGAGTTTTCTACTGTGAGTCTAGGACATGGGTGAGCATTTCATTTTTGATTGTCTCTTTCCACTATGATAATCTTTCTGTCTATAAACCAGTAAAATACCATCCTAACCATGCCACTGTTCTAACTGTACATTTGTTAATTGTACAAAGATGGATGGTGAAACCATTTTTATGCATGCTATTTTGGGGAAAGCATAAGGGAACATCAAAAGGACTTAAACTTGCATATAGTTTCAGGAAACTTGTGATACCTTTAGAAAAATAGTAGTAAACCTAAGATATTGCTGCATCAGTTTGGCCACCACAAAACTAAAAGCAAGGACTAAAATATTGATATTCAGACCCCTCACAGGAAAGATACTGAAACCCGAGAGCATGCCCAGAGAAGGGCAGTGAAACTGAAAAGGATCTGAAATGCAAGTCTTATGAGGAGCAGCTCAGGAAACAGGGATTGTTCAGTTTGAAGAGAAGGCTCAGGGGATGCTTCATTGCTCTTCACAATGACCTGAGGAAGGAGAAGGAGGATGTAGCAAGATTGAGGTTGGACTCTTCTGCCAGCTAGCAGTAAGACATTAGGTAATGGCCTTGAGTTGCACTGTGAGAGATTCAAGATGGATGTTAGGAAAAAATTCCACTCAGAGTGATGCGGCTCTGGAACAAGCTGCTCAGAGAGGTGGGGGACTCACCATCCCTTGAGGTCTTCAAGACCAGTGAAGATGTGGCACTGAGAGACGGGGTTAGTGAGCATGGTGGTGATGGTTGAATTTAATGACCTCAGAGGTCTTTTCCAATCTTAGTGATTTTATGATTCATTGCAGGGTCTTTGAGCAGTTGTTTGAAGTTGTTCTTTGTTTTTGTTTTTTGGTTTTTTTTGTTTGTTTTTTGTTTTTTTTTATTTTTTGTTTTTTTTTTTTTTGTTTTTTGGGGTTTTTTTTGTTTTTTGGGGGTTTTTTTGTTTTTTGGGGTTTTTTTGTTTTTTGGGGTTTTTTTGCTTGCTGGCTTATACTTCTCTTGGAATATTCGTGTATCTGTAAGATAGCTATTGTCCTAGCTTTTGGCTCTTCGAAAATTGGCTAGAATAAGTAGTCCCATATCCTTGGTGTAGAGGTGAAGTGCTCCTGGAATAGCCCAGAGAACAACAGATTGTGGTTGAGGCCCTACTCATTCCTGGGGAATAAGCAATTTATCTCACATATTTTCCCATGTTTGAATTTCCCTATGTTTGAATTACTGCGGAGAGTCACTCCTATCACTCTGTTTCAGAGCATCTTGGGCAAGAAACTCTTCCTACACATCCACCTGATGAAGGAAGGGAAAGAAGTAGCGATTTAGTCCATATAGTTTCTGGAAAGGAAATGCATTAAGAAACAGAATCTCCTGTGGGCTGCTTGCAGTCCTTAGATCAGTTTGCAGTTGATTGAGTCTAAAGATTCCGCCTTGCTGGGTTTTATCAGGGAGAAATATCCATTTTAAAGCACCTACTGATTAAAAAAAAAATAAATTAAAAACCTTTCATTAATGGTGCTTTAAAAGACATTTACTTTTTAAATATTATTCAGGGAGAAAAAAAAAATACAGATTCATGGAACCAGATAGTGTCTTGGATTGGATGGGATATTGTAGACCAGTCAGTTCTAACCTCCTACCATGGACATAGTTACCATCCACCAGATCAGGCTGACCAGGGCCCCATCCAACCTGGCCTTCAGAGCCTTCAGGAATGGGGCATCCAAAGTTTCTTTAGGCAACTTGTTTGAGTTCCTCACTACCCTCTGAGTAAGGAATTTATTCCTAATGTCAAATCTAAGTCTTCCCTCTTTCACTTTAAAACCATTACGCTTTGTCCTGTCACTATTCTCAAGTACTTCCATTTGTAGTTCTTGCTGTTTCCTTAAAGCAGTACAGCATCCCTACTTACTAAACTAATGACTTGCATTTCTTAAAATGCTATGTGAAAAGCCCTAAGAAATGTTGTGACTGTTATTTGGTTAGATAATTGGATTTTTAATACCTGTCCAATGTTCCTTTTTTCTCACACATTTTAAAATAAAATCACTATGGGATAGCATTCCTTCTTTAACATTGACTCAAGTAATTTATTCACAAGTACATTAGAAGTCTGGAGTGATATCTGAACTCCAGGCACCCTCTTGGCAATGCTTTTTCTCCCCAACCTGTTCCTCTGGTTTCCCATGCTTTTGCCCCTTCCATAGTAGTCCTTTAACATCTCTGGTTCATTCAAGTGTACAGGACTTGGCCAGGATGGAGTTAATTTTCCTCATAGCATTCTCATACAGTGCTATGTTTTGTATGTGGCCAGACAGCGTTGATAACATAGCAATGTTTTGACTCTTTCTGGTTAGTGCTTGCAGTGTCAAGGCTACTTCTCCAATTTGTTGCCCCCCAAAAATGGTGTGGGCATGGACAAGAAGCTGAGAGGAGACAACCAGCCCAAACTGATGAGAGTGGTATTCATGCCACATATTGTCCTTCTCAACAGTAAAAGCTGAGAGAATGAGTGGGGATGCAGGAACATTCATAGTGATGGCATTTGTCTTCCTGAGTGACTGCTAAGGGTACTGAGGCTTTCCTTCCCAGCAAGTGGCTGGATATCTGCCTTCTGATGAACAGTATTGAATAAATCTACTTTTTTTTTTTTTTTTTTTTTTTTTTTTTTGCTTTATTTCTGTGCATATCTTTTCCTTTCTTTTTTAAACTGTTATCTCTTTTCCATGCTGCTTTCTCTCTCTGTGCTGTTAAGGGAGGCGAGTGAAAGAATAGCTGGGTAGACATCTGGCCATCCTCATCTAGGGACTGAAAATTCTGCCAACCACAGGCTGCCAATATTCATTCATATCTGCTTGCAGACTTTGTTATTTAATGTTGCTTGAGGATCTAGTCATATCAGAAAAAATGCTATAACTATTTCTCTGGTTATTGACTCTTTTCCATTGGCATAGTTTAGTCTTCTGCAGTGTTATAGAAGTGGCTTTATTTTGTATCTTCAGCTTGCGGTTTATCTCACAACTACTTAAAAGCAAATTTATTTGTTGTTATTAAATGAAGTTCAACAAAAAGTAAAGCTGAGTGTGGATTCCAAGGATAGTGAAAAACAACTATAGCTGCCTGTAAGAGGTGCTGATTTATATCTATCTATATATTTATATACTATTCAAATTAACACCAGGCAATTCAAATCTTTATTCAGTGAAAATCACACCAGAATACTAGAGAAACAGGCATTAAATTCTATGAAGAAAAATAACTGAAGTTCTGTGTCGTGGGAGCTTGAAAAATTACTGAAGCAGCTTATACAGTGAGGTTTTTTATAAATAAAGACGTTTGTACTTGGGAATTTAATTTCAGTGAAAGTCAACAGGATTAAGTCTTCAAAAAAAAATTACATCATCAGTTTTAAGCATTTTCACTCTTACTTGTACAGCACATTCTCTCTATCAAGCTAATGTGAATATAAGTATCACTTCATTTTGTAGAGGTGTGCAGAAGAGATGTACAGCTGGGATTGTGAGCTTATAAAAAAGAGTTCAGATTCCATCAGGACATTTGCGTATTTTTCTGCCCTTTAACAAAGGTACTTCAGCTCAGAGCAAAAGACACATACACTTTCCTTTTTATATCCCTTTCTTCATGAACAGTTCTTTCCAACACTCACAAGCCCATGTACTCACCAGTGCGTTGGTATGCCTGTATGGTTTCCTGTGTCTTTGCATCAGACCTTATTCAGTAGCCATCTTGGGATGCCAAACCATCCTAACACAGCAGCATCCTCTTTACAAATCTGTGATTAAGCTGTAATTCTCTGGAAATCAGTTTTGACAAAAATGACAGCTCAAAGCATGGGATGGAGTTGTCTTTGCGGAACCTGAGTCATTAAAGTGACTTTAATCCTCCCTGTTACTACCCTGGTTTTATGAAATGTAGATGGACTCACTTTGACTAGAAAGAATGAATTGTTTTTTTTAATCTTTTATTTTTGGGCACAACAACAAAGGACCTGGGAAATCTCAATTAATCACTCCTTGGGTTAATTAAATAATGAAATTAGAAGAAGAATATTGAAGGCTTGGAGAAGAGTGGAAGCATATAGTGACAACACGAATTTTAAATATTTGTGGCTGTTGGTGTGATTTCCCCCACCCCCCCCCACCCCCCCCTCCCCCCCAGGGCTTTCCTCTCATTGACTCAAAGGGGTAAGTGTAGAAGGACAAGTGAAAGGCTTTATTTGTGTCATAATGTAATAACATTTCAGCTTTTACGAAATCTAAAATGTCACAACTGTCATTTCATTATTGCTGTATGTCTTTATTGACTATCCAATTCATAGAACAGGAGAGTAGATGAAGTTTCCAGAGAAGTCATGGAAATAATGCAAGTGGATTCTAAAGGAGTAATTTAATATAATTTCATATATTCTGAATTGAGAAAATGTGTATTCCACATATATAGGCACACCTTTATAATAGAGAATAATCTCTATGCTTTATTGACATGCTTTTCTGAGTTTCTAGCTTACGAACTTTAAAAAATAAAAATTACAACAACCACGTTATGTTTGAATTGATTATCATGAAGTTGGAACAACCAGAGGTCAGTGTAGTAAGTTTTAAAATGATTCAATTAACATGCATCAAAAACTTGGTATTTATTTCTTTCCTAGTGCTTTTTTCAGCCAGAAGAAAAGTTTCCTGTTGTGTGTGGAAAGAGATTCGCATAATGCCTTGAGATACTGCGATTGCAGAAATTTAGATTTTGATAATGTCTGATAGACGTGCTTGAAATATATATATCAGTTAACAAGATTATTGCTTGAAAAGACAATTGTATTTTTACTTAGAGGTTTTTCTGAGGTGGTAAAATGCATTGGTATTTAATGAAGCGTGAAACTTTTAAATGAACCGTGAAAGCAATAGTTAAACTAATTAGCTGAGTACAAAGCTTCTTAGAATACATACGTTATATGGGCTTGTTATTTCTGCCTAGTTAAACTGACAACTAGGATAAAGTTGTCACATTATTGTTTAAGAGAAACAACATTAAAAAGTATCTTCTTTTTAATACAAGAAAGGATAGAAAATTGCTTCTTTGTACTGCTCAGAAACTCAGGGACAAGGCAACTTTTAAAAGTATGGTTTAGTTATCCTTGAACAATCGACTTAATCTAGGAAACAAAAGTGAACTGAATGTTATTGCAAGTTACTTGCATTCCTACTTGAGTACTCCAACAGCCTGTTTCTGCAATTTTTGCTTTCTAGGCTAACATTTGCCACCTGTTCTTTAGTATCACTGTTCAGCTGGTTGGTATTTTTTTATTTTTTATTTTTCCTCCTGCTTGTGTGTTTCATTCTCTTGAAGAGAATTCTCTCTTGCTTTC